ATTGATCACTTTCCAAACACTGTTAAAGACGTCAATGTGTGATGAATCAGAATTTCAAGACTCAACAAACTGTTTAATTCAAAGCCCTTTAAAACAGCTTTAATAATTCCACCTTTAAAATCCATTTGAAAACATATAGAATGGCAAATAAAGAGCAAACAAATGTAAATGAGTACATATGGGGGGAAAAAAACCCTAAAGAGTGTATATTTTACACTGAAAACACATTTTAATAGTGGGCCAGAATTTAAAAGCACAAAATACAGTGAAGAATGAATCGATTTTTTTATGGCCCCACTCTCCTCTGATGTTTAGCTTTTCTCCCAGAGTTCGTAAGCTTTATAAGACCTCTCTGCTTTTCCAAACACGAGTGGAGGTGCCAGAGGAGTGAGTCCTAACCAAAGCACTGACCTCATCCTTTTATGAAGATGTTCTATTTCATGGTAAATTTGATCCGAAAGCCTCAAAGACTGCCTCTGCCTGCCTCTTCCCATTCTAGTCAAAAATTGATAGAAAAAGGACAGAAAATAAAGAAATCAAAAGACAGAGGCAGGGAGATGAAGCAACATATGTCCTTACTTTTCTTTACAGAAAATAAATCAACTCCTTTGGACTCCAAATGTCACTGAAATTGGTGAGAAAAAGTACAACAAGTGAATGCAAGGAAAAGAGAAATATTGCAAGATATTTAATTTCCCAAATAAACATATTTGCATGTGTTCATCCTTCCATGTTTATTTTCAAACTCATTTCACGAGCCAGTTTAATTTGGATGTTATAATCGCTGAGTTATGATGAAAAGAAAATCTAGGACATTAATTCAACCTGTTATGTAACTGAATCATATTCCAACTGCACAACAATCAAACACATTGCATAGAATTAATAAGAAAATATATATATCTTTGTTTGAGTTTAAGAAATCTTTTCTTCTACAGAACATTAACACAAGAAATTATTAAATAAATACTCATTTTTTGATCCTAAGCACCCAATACTATTGTACAATTGTCCATATGGTGTTATTCTAAAGTTTGCTGACTACAATCTGGTCAGATTTATTCATATTATGAACATTTGTGAGGGCATATGTGGTTCTGAGATCTTTTGCCAATTTTTATTGTAAAGAAAGAAGGAAAAAAAGCTGAGCTCTTAAACATAAAGGTATGCTTCAGAAAACATATGTTATTCAGTTAATTTCCACTTTTTATTTCCTATAGCCCCCCAAAAAGAACTAAATAAAATAATTATGACTTTTTATGTCACTCGCAATTCAAGAAAACTATCACGATGAGGTTTATTACAGCCATAAACAGAAGTGTTATTGGATTACTGCTGTACAATAAGTTAGTTAACCTCTTTGGAATTAGATTTCAACATGAATGTCTCCTAAATATATGTTGTTTATATATATATATATATATATATATATATATATATATATATATATATATATATATATATATATATATATATATATATATATATATATATATATGCCTATTATCTTTTAATTTAATATTATTAAAGTAAATTTCAGGAGCTATTCTTAAATAAACACATTTAATTCCAAATGGCATCATTTAACCTACAGAACATTCTAAAAGTTATTTCATATTGGCAGTTTACTGCGAGATCTTTTTTTTTTTTTTTTTTTGCTGAAATGACCCTCTAAATCATATTTTAATTTACCCAAGTGCAGTGGTCCATGGCCCGAAACACTGAAAACAGTAAATAATGTAACAATGAAGATTGATAGTAAACTTGCAATATTGATTTTTGCACTACATCATGTGGAGGGAAAAACCAAGATGCACACGCTCGCACACAAAATAAAAAAAAACTCATAATAACTTTACTGCCTAAATAAACCCCCAAAAATAATAATAATAATATCCATAGATTTGGGAGAAGAGTACGCCACTTCATGTTTTCAATGTTTTCAGAATGAATTGTAGTTAGGATATAAACATAATCCAACAGTTTAATTTGGTTAAAATAATATAAATAAAGAAAAAATAATAATTAAATAACCATAGTACATGTGCATGACACCTACACATAAGAAAAGAAACATTATCAAGCATTCTTGAATACAAAATTCTTAAAATAAACTTTCTCTTTTTATTATCATTTATTAATGTTGTTATATACATGGCATAATCTTGTGCTTTTTTTCCAAAAAGAAACATCCAAGAGGAAAGAGAGTTGTCTTTTCTTTTCTTTTCTTTCGGTTTATCAAAGTTTATGTTTGTCCCATGAACTCAAAGTGAGAAAAAGGTTCGTTCGGTCCTAGCAGAGGTTAGTCTTACTGCACGTGGAGGGATAGTAGCAGGTGATGTGCTTTACTAACAGTAGCAAAGGCACCTTTGTATCTTCTTTAGAAAAAAAAAAAAAACACACACGCTCGTTTGCAGGTCACCGTGTATTGTGTGTGTGCTCATTCACGAGTGTAGTCCAGCGTCCCGGCACACATTCACAATTCTCCACTGAGTCAGACGCTCATATAAAAATAAGAGGAACAAAACACACACACCCACACACAAAACAAGATAGTTTCTGCTCCATTTACAGATTGGGAAGATGCGGCATTAACCGAGCCAAGATACGTCTAATGTTTCCTGATTTCTTCTTGAGAGGGCAAAGAGGAAGAGGAAGATGGAAAGAGGAGAACTTGCAAAAGGGCGATATTAGGTGAAAGAAAAAGAAACAACTAAAGGGGACTAGGATGATGTAAGGTCAATGTGAAAAAGATATGAGGATGCACTGATTACAGTCAGTGTAGCTAGACAGACAAACAGAAATAGGCTACAGATAGACAGAGAAAAAAAACAGATAGAAAGTGATGATAGACAGCTTGCTACAGACATAGTGACAGAGAAAAATATCATGTAGAAGCATTCATGATAGCTAGCCACTGTAGCTAGATAGACAGACAAATATACAGTTAGCTAAGTGCAGATGCTTGCTAGTAGCTAGCTGGACTGATGCTAATGATTGACGTCTGGCCACTGAAGCTAGACAGACAAATAGATTATGCAATAATAACGGACATCTGGAGCAAAATGGCTTGATAGCTAGACAGATAAACTTGTAGATGATAGGCAGGAATGATGGAGTTATGATAGATGATAGACAGACAAATATACAGCTAGCTACTGCTGATACTTGCTAGTTAGTTAACTATATAAGTAGATAGACGCTGATAATTGGCAATCTATGCACTGATTGACATCTGGAGCAACATGATGGTAGAAAGTTGGCTATTGTAGCTAGCAAGACAGAATGAAAGAAAAAGTGATCAAATGCTTTTATTATAGACAGCTAGCAAATTCTACTGCCGCCAGCTGCCATATTTTGCTAGATAGAGAAATAATTGTGTTGATGATAGACAGATAGCTAGCTAGACAGATTGACAAAGAAAAATATAAAATAGATGTTTTGATTATGGACAACTAGCCACAGCTATACTTGCTAGGTAGCTAACTAGATAGGTAGATAGACGCTGATGATTGGGAATATATGCACTGACAGACATCTGGAGCAACAAATGATGATACCATGCTGCTGCTGCTGCTGCTGAAAAAAAACAAAAAAAACAACAACACAGGCTGGTTGGCTCTTTTTGGCTGGTTAGGCTGGTTTTAGAGGGGTTTTAGCCATTCCAGACTGGTTTCCAGTCATTTCCAGCCTGGTCTTAGCTGGTCAGGCTGGAAGATGACCAGCTAAAATCATCTTGACCAGCCTGGCTGGGAGCCCAGCCAAAACTCACTATGTCCAACTTAAACCAGGCTGGTCAAGCTTGTTTTAGCTGGTTTAGGCTGGTCGTTTGGCATGAGAATGGCCAAAACCCCTCTAAAACCAGGCTGTTCGACCAGCTAAAACGAGCCAACCAGCCAAGGCTGGTTTAAGATGTTTTTTTTTTCTTTTTTTTTCTTTCAGCAGGGTAGACAGCTAGCTATTGTAGCTAGCTAGACAAAATGAAATGAAAATAAAATTTGCATTATAGAACAGTAGGTAGACAGACAAATGTACAGCTAACTACTGCCGCTAATTGCTAGCTATCTAGATGGAGACATTGATGCTGATTGACATCTAGTCAATGTAGCTAGATAGACAAATACATAGACAGCTAGCTAATAGAGCAACATATTTTGCTAGCACAACAGATAATTGTCTGTTTATGTTACAGTTAGTTACTGTAGTTAATATAGATAGACAGTTAGGCAGGAGAGTAGATAGATACTGTAGATGCACTGATTTTAGACAGTGAGTGTAGATAGGAAGAAAGACAGAAAAATAGATAGAAAAACAAAAGAGAAGTATTACAATGAGCAGATGATGTAATGGTGATATATGCACTGAAGACAATTAACTACTGTAGGTTGATTTTGCTTGCTAGCTAGACAGATAAAGACAGACAAATGTGTTTATGGTAGATAGTTAGCTACTGTAGCTAAATAGATGGACAAGTGGATCAATACATTTATGACAAGCATTTAGCCACTGTAGCTAGCTAGATAAACAGAGAAGAAGATAGATGCAACTGGTGACAGCCAGCTGAATGTAGGTCTGTAATTGGTCTGGACAACATTTGTTGTGTACAAAGATTTGCTAAACGTATTTAAAAGCTCTGTTTTATTCTAAATTTTATACATCTGTTTAACATCTGAAAAGAGATGTCTAATAGACGTATTGCAGGTGAGCAAACACACATAAAGATGTGTCTTTTTTATGTAAACACAAACTAGATAGATGGATAGATAGATAGATAGACAGATAGATAGATAGATAGATAGATAGATAGATAGATAGATAGATAGATAGATGGATGGATGGATGGATGGATGGATGGATGGATGGATGGATGGATGGATGGATGGATGGATGGATGGATGGATGGATGGATGGATGGATGGATGGATGGATGGATGGATGGATGGATGGATGGATGGATGGATAGATAGATAGATAGATAGATAGATAGATAGATAGATAGATAGATAGATAGATAGATAGATAGATAGATAGATAGATAGATAGATAAATAGATAGAGATAGAAATTGGAAGCTCAGACAGGTAGATGGAAAAGCATAACAAAAATTTGTGTTAGGAAATGAAAGAGAAAGGAGAAGGTGAAGGAGAAAGGAGAGGAGCGAGAGAGGGCAGGTGAAGGAAGGCCTTTCTGGTGCTGGGTGGTCCACTGCCCACCCACCTTCCTCAGCTCCAGAGGCAAACACTGTTGGTGGTCTGGCAGGTGGAGGAGCTCTCTGCAGGAGATAGATACAGCTTGCCACTGGGACATACACACACCTCGTACACAGTCTGTTTGGGGTACGTTGTCCCTGGGCCGAGCAAAGGGTCCACGCTCCCATGTGGAAGATTTCCAAGACGGATTGAGTTTGCATTTAGATAAATCTGGAAAATGGAGGAGAAGCAAGGAGAGGTGAGGAAGCGAGCGCAAACAATAACATTATCAAAAACTTCAAATGACAAAATATTATAAGAGTAATTTAGGATTATGCTGCATGTACTCATAAAACATCACACTGATGAAACACTGACTAGGTTTACTTGGACATCAATGATTTGCCTTAATCTGAATAAGACAATAATAAGATTAAGGTGTTTTCATAAATTGCTTTTTGAATGTTCCTTTCATAATCCCGTTTACATGTTACAGCACATAGTACAATTAACATCATTGCGTCATGCTATCCGCAATTCCACCAGGGTTTCATTTAATGCCAGCAGTTTCATTTTTAATTTGGCGACTTTAACTGCAGTTTGGCACTTTCACTTTTATTCAGGAACATTCATGCATGCCCCCATGACAAACGAGATATTGGATGTGAGTATGAACTGCTGGAAGAGTGTTGTTTTAATGGAATTTGTTACCGCAAGACGTATGGGAGAAAAAAAAACCCAAAAAAAACTTGCAACATTTTGTGATGCAGGTGTCTGCGGTCCTTCATTGACTCGGTAGGTGCAGAGAATAGTGTTAAACAGCCATGTTTGCATAGATTATCCTGTCGCAAAATGCGGTTAAAGTCCAACACAACAGTAATAGTTTAAGTTGTCTGTACTGCAATTCAATAATGTGACTAAAATCAGCATACTCTACACATCTCAATACGATTTCTGTTTAGTCCAAATATAACCGGATTAAATTAATGAAAAATCGCTGTTAACATGGTAGACTCTTAATCAGAGTATTGTCTTAATTGTAATAAAATCAAATAATTGGTGTAGACAAACCCATTGTGAGACATTCACAGTTAAACACTGTTGTCCTGAGAGTTCAACAATCTGTCTAGTTTCTCTATGAGTGTCGCAAAGTGTCTCCTTAACCAAGTTTTCTTGTAGAGCTGCACAATACTATTGTTTAATCCTCAATATCCCAATATGAGCATCTGCAATATAGGCAATAGGCAACAGGATTAGGATCATAGTTGACCAGGAGCCACAGTTCAGAACACATGCAATTTGTGGAGTCACTGCATAATTTAATCATAATGGACTGGATGGAGTGGAAATTTCAATTGCTTTCCTGTATCGTATGCACGCTTCATTCCTCCTACAATCATCCCAATCAAATTGTTGTATATAACCAAATATATAACCAATAGTTATTGTTTTAAATCAAAAATAACTATTCAAAGAATTTGGCTAGAAACAAAGAAAGAAATAAAGCTTATTTTTAAACTGATTTATAAACAATGTCCAAGATAGATATACACCATGTAAATGCTTAAGGTTAGAGTCTTTCATCCACTTCCGATCATACTGCATGATCTTTTAATCTGATACATCGAAAACTGCGCTTTTTGTAAAGATTTGTACATTTAGTACTAATACAATCAAATACTTTATACACTTTATGCATTGAGATTTATTTCCCTTATTGCCGATGAGTTCATATTTCGCATGTTTGCTGTTTTAGTTTTTATTTTAGCAAAAGAAAAAAGAAATCTATATATTTTGGACAGAATTCATTGTAAAATATAAGACATTATTTTTGAAGATATACAGGCCTACAGAATACATTTTATTAGGGGTCACCACAGTGCAAATAACTGCCAATTATTTCAGCATATGTTTTACACAGTGGATGCCCTTCCAGCCACAACCCAATAATGAGAAACACCCAAACACTCTCTCAATCACACATGCACTTATAGATCGCATGTCTTTGGACTGTGGGGGAAACCGGATATTTGCCTTTAGTGAAACTAAAACATGTAGTGTTAATGGGTACGTTTTACTTAAGTACAATTTTGAGGCCGTACTTCTTTACTTTTACTTGTTTACACAAGTGTAGTCAGTACTTCAACTTTTACTAGAGTTGTTTTAAAGATGAGTATCTGTACTTCTACTTGAGTAAAGGATGTGTGTACTTTTACCAGCTCTGCCTACAACATAACACTACCGTGACAGTCAACAACTCCTCTCAAAGAACATGCATTTCACTTCCAGATTTGAAACAAGGGAAAAAAAAAAAAAAAAAAAAAAAAAACTTCAGCAGTGACATGAACAACGTTTCATTAAAAGTCTGTTTGCCCTTTGATTTATAAATATGTTTATGCCTGTGTTTATCAGTTCAAAAAGTCTGTTGGCTCTGACAGCTAAGAAAGGCCAAATAATCTTTAACATAACTCAAACGATGCAAGTGTGTGACATAAAAAACAAAACAAAGGAGGATGAGAAAGAAGATGCCAACAAGGAAGAACTAATTACTGTAAGTAATGGTATCTGAGGTGTTGACAGGGCGTATCTCTATAAACATTTGCACAAACAAGCCCCCATGATGCTTTGCTGTCAGCAGGACAGTGCGCAGCCACTTTCACTATCAGTCTGTCATATTGACTCTCATTGTTTGTCTCCCTAGCCTTTTGCTGTGTCAGTTTTTTCATTTTGTTCGCTCCACATGCCCTGCTAACTTCAATTTAACACTTATCAAACGCAAACTTGAGTTTTATACAATCAACATACACACAACCTCTTTAGAGAGATATATTCGAGTGAGCACATGAATACAAGTTGAATGATGTTATGTACTGCATAATGTTTGCTCTCAAAAACCCAGGAAATAATATTCCCAAGGACATTTCAAGAACCTCTGTATGTTTATGTAAGCACAGTAAGTTCTGGAAAATTTCCAAGTGGTCAAATGTGTTAAAAGCCAGCTGCTCTCCACATACTGACCGCATGCTCAAACATACTTTCATGAGAACACACTTACAGATATCTGACTGAATATAATATGCATATTTGGTATCCTGTCCATGGAGAGAGCTTCAAACTCGTTTCATTCCCCTTGTCAGGATAGAAAGAGAGAGATAGGGGTCTGAGCATAGTGTCTAGGCCAGTGGTTCTGAAAGTGGGGGTTGGATCCCCTGGTGGGTTGCGGGACAATGACAGGGGGTCGCTTGGTTATTTCCAAAAGTCAAATAATGTTTTTTTTAAACTAGAATTGTCTTATTTGAACTAAAACCCACAGAAAAAAATATAGTAGTTTTTAATAGTAAAAAAAAAACAACAACATGCAAATGGGTTATATGTACAGCTAGTGTTTTTCAGCCATTGATGAATTTCCGGTGAGAGCTTTATGTGACTATTTTTAATTTCTTAAGGTTCCTTTTACAGCATACATGTTATAATGTGATTCAAATATAATAAATTTAACAGACTTAAGCATTCATTTGGCTGTTAAAGTGTAAAAAGAGACTAAAGACCGTGTAAATGCAGGCACCGTCATTAGCAGCAGGCTAGTGCAGAAATGCCATTGATAAAATTAATTTCCAAAATTTAAAGACATGCCACCCACTTTATATCATATCTCAGCCAGGGAGTGAAGATTACTGTGTTTTAAAGAAATCTGATCTTAAACACAGGGATTTTGTATGGGATGACAATTAATTGGAAGCCCAGGGGCTGGCTGATGTGCATATGGCCCCTTAAAAGCCATCAGTCCTTAAATATTACTATTTTTTTTTTTTTTTTTTTTTTTTTTACATAGGATTGGTGTGTTTACTTTAGATTTAACAACACACCAATAGCATCAGCTGCACCAGATTGATTTTTATTGCAACAGGTTAAACATACTGACACATTTAATGGCAATCAAATACATTAAAAATAATAATCTGATTGGTGGTCTCCAAAACCAAGAACAGACTGAACACACTGTGTCCACCAGTCTTTTTAGTTGAGGTTAATATTAAATTAAACAAATTGATAAATGACTATAAAATTATATGGTTGTTTTGTTTTTTGTGGGTTTTTTTGTTTTGTTTTGTCACCCACCCCCTCTCCAAATTATGTAGGAATCAAGTTTAAAGTTGCCAAAGGTGCCAGAAGTCCAGAGAAAACGAGGATAGGACACGCTTTAAATTTGTAGGGATTTGGTCTTATGCTGATTTGACAATATAATGATTGTCAATAATGAATTAGCCTTGTCAAAACTTTTTACAAAAATTACAGATGATACTAGAGAGCTTTAGATTAGTTTAGATGTGATGAGAAACTGTAGTGCGAGTTGACGTGAATAAAACCATTTATCCATTTGGGCGGAAGTGACAAATTACAAGCTTTACTTGTTTATATCAGTTTTATATCTTGTAAATTCAAATTTTGTCACTGTTTTGGGGAACACTAGCTTATAGACATCCTAAAAATTAATAATACTGATACTAATATCTAAAAAAAACTTTATTCAAATTTTTAGGACCTTTTAACTAGCAAGGTAGACCTGAAGCAAATTTTGCACTTTTGTAACAAACGAGTCACACATCCCTCATCACTTGTGTTAGATATTGCAAAAATGAAAACTGTTATTAAATACACACCGTCTATCAACATAACTGATCTTTGTTCATCTTCTGAACTTAAGATATTTTCAATCAAATCTGAGAGCTTCTTCAACCTCCACATACAGAAACTAAACCAAGACATTCAAAGTACAGAAAAGGAGGCAAATATATTGTTAAAACATTACATGTGGCTTCAGTGGTTCAATCATGCGAAGCTCTAAGAACACTGTAAATATTATTTTGTTTACTTATGTCTTTCACACCAAGCGCATGCAAACAAAGTTGTTTTTACATTTTTTTAACACAAAATTGTTAATTGAATTTTATATGATAACAGTTAAACCACTGAAATGTCATGGAGTGTTTTGACAATGTTTTTGGCTCCTTTACTGGACATTGAATATGTTGGGACTGCTGCTGTACATGGAGGATCAGAAAGTTTTCGAATTTCATCCGAGAATATTTTAATCTGGATTCTGAAAATGAACAAAGGTCTCAGAGTATTATAACAAAATGAGGGTGACTAATTAATGACATATTTTAAACTTTGGGTGAACTAATCATTAAATGATTGACAGACATGGAATATGACACATAAAAAATAAA